AGTACAAGTTGTCCGTCCTGAAGAAGGTCAAGAATGGGTACGAATTCCCGACTGGCGAAGGCTCCATGTGGTCAAATACAGTCGAGACAAACTTCAAGCAGGACAAGCATGGGAATTTGGAGCAATAGGTGACGTCATTCCTGCAACTGATCTCACAGCAGTAGTTTTCTTTGGTGAGACCCGCACTCGTCGTTCCGACAGACGACTAACACCTGCAGAAGATCTTCGTCGGGATTGGGTTCAACGACTAGTAGCCCTGCAGCAAAAAGATGTGAAGTGTGCCCACCTACGACGCGCAGCTGCGATCCTTTCCGCTGGTTTCACCTCCGCCGAAGCTTTCGAAAAGATGGGAACTAGAATTTCGGCTGGCGATAAGCGCGAAGCTCTTCTTCAGTGCGTGTTACGACCGCATCAAGTTGATGATGAGGATTGCCTTCTAGTTTTCGAGCAAGGAACATGGGCTGTTTATGTCCCTGAAGGAATTTGGGAAGTGAACCTTGACAACCCTCGTGGAGTAACCGTTCGGAAGTTTTTCCTGAACTACGCGCACCAAGAAAGCACTCATGCAAAGGCGGCTGGAACAATGGCGCACCTTCATCAGATGGGAGTTTGGTGGCCCAACGTCTGGGCTGACTGCACTAAGTTCGTTCAGCGTTGTGTGGATTGCGCAGCCTACCACGGCGTCCCAGAGCGAACAGCCCATAGGCTGAACGAAAGCGCACTGAAATTTCGCGACAAGTACGTGATGGATTTTCAGGGGCCGTTCAAGAAAACCAAGCGGGGCAACCTTCACTTCTTTACCTGCGTTGACAGTGCAACCATGTGGTTCTGGGGACGACCTACTGCAGCAAAGGATGCTGGTACTGTGATCAAGATCCTCCGTGAAATCTTCCTTGAATTTGGTGCACCAAGAATCATTCGTGCTGACAACGGTTTTGGTTTTTCAGAGGGATCAAGGATCAAGAAGTTTCTTCGCGCTGAGTTTCCCAACACGCGGTTGGTGCTAGGAACTGCATACAACCCGAAGTCGCAGCAGGCTATAGAGCGAGTTCATCCCTTCAGCCGAAAGTTTTTCACCTTCCGCCGGAATAAGGAGTGGGATGAGCTGGCCACGCATTTTCAGTGGCGAATGAGGAGCAC